TTGTTCAATGTACATTTAGACAAACCGGGAAGTACTATTTCCTTGGTAAGGTTTCAAAAATGTTGCTGGAAAGGATGCAAGTGTGAGTTAGTGTACTCTGGAAGGACGCCTTGCCGTGAGAAGCTTGTTGGTCAGGTAAATGCTGTTGGCTATCTACTGCAGGCAGGTTACAGCCTGCTCGGCTCACAGGGAAGCCAAACAGGCAGAGTGTGCAAACCACTCGTCTGGAAGAAGTGTGCCCTGCTCCAAAAGAGCTGGTGTTGGTAGAATGTGCAGCATGAGGCAGAGAGAAGGACCACACCAATGGTGTAAACTCAGTTCCTTTTTTACAGCTTTATTGAGGTATAATCCATATACCAATATAAATTATTTAAAGCATACAACCCAGGGTTCTCTTTTAGACATAATCACAGAGATGTGCAACCAGGATCGATTTCAGAACATTTCCATTACCCCAAAAGGGAACTGCATACCCATTTCCCCCAAACACTCCCAGTCCCAGGCAACAACTGATCTGTCTCCAACTAATCTGCCTACTTTGCATACTTCATGTAAGTGGAACCATATAACTCTGCGGTCTCTTGCGACTGGCTTCTTTGATACATTTAATGTTTACAAAGTTTATCCGTGTTATAGCTTGCATCAGTTCTTCATCCTTCTTTATTGCTGAATAATATTCTACTCTTAAGGATATACCATGCACAGTAGAATCTTCACAAGCAGTAGAATCTCTTTTGCTATATAAACAAAGCTGTAAACAGTGATTAGGCCCCACATGAGTCCATAAATGCCTATTTATAGCTGAAAATAAATTATTAATTATATAATATTACAGTTCTCTTGAAGTATTATCAATTACCACAGTGATATCTGGATTAATGAAAATACTGGGAATGAAGCTCCTTTATATTTAAGACAACTGCTTCAAATGTTTTCCATAATCTGTAGGAGGAATTAATTGCAAGCCCGAAGGCTGGAACACTTCAGGACATAACTGTTTTTTGACCCCAACCCCAGTGGAAGACAAACTGCAAAACTGCAAATACAAAGCTGGTCTCTATCACCTCCCTTTCTGCTTGCTGGCCCCTACATCTCTTCCCCCTCTCTTTGAAATACAATTCCTTCTGTATGTTTCACCCCTCCCCCGATCCCCAAAACAAAATGAGATCTTTTATACCTGTTGACTAATTGCAGCCTCACCTTAAATTGAAATAATACATTTACATGAAAATGTTACTTGAAGGAGACAATGATTTTCTAACACATTTATCCTCCAACACATGAAATGAAAATTAGTTTCCCTCAAATAAAGAATTTCCAGCAGGAACAAGCTGGTAAAGGGGAGAGTTATTGAATGCTTGTTTGCTGTTTTTATTCCCAGGAGACCCGCTCAAATCACAGTAAATCCACTCCATGGCAAATTGAATTTACTCAGGGTAACACATTTCTAGGAAGGTGGAAAAAAATAAGGAACTGTTATTAATTCTGTTAGACATGATAATGGTAGTATGATTATGTCTAAAACTACCCTTATTTAAGAAATGCATACTGAGATTTTTGGGTACAATGATGTGCTATCTCTTATTTACTTGAAAATACTTCAGGTAGTTGGAAAGAGGGTATGGGGAAGGAAAAACGAAACTAAATACTGATAACTGTTGAGAGCAGCTGATAGGTGATGAGAGTTCATTATTCTTTTCTGCTTTATGTCAAAAAATATAAAATTCTCCAAAGTAAAATACTTTTAAAAGAGAGAGATAAACTGTTCTCTTCCTCTTGGGCAGTCTTTTGTGCCTTTCCTTTTCCTTCATAGCATTTACTGTTGTCACTACATATTTCTAAGATTATGTGATTAATGTTTATCTCCCTGACTAGACTTTAAGCTCCATAGGACCACAAAGGTGTTCGCTCAGCTCCCACAAAATCCCTACCACCTCGCAAAGTTTCTGGCACCTGACAAATATTTACTAAGTGAGACAATAAAATAAGTTATAGCATGCATTTAGGTCAGTAAATGCTCGATACATAAAGGAAAGGGGGGAATGGAAAGCCAGGGACCTCTGGTTGAATGAATTCAACATTTTTTCCTACATGTATTTACCATTTAAGTTCACGTTTTTTCTATTTAAAATGTAGTAAAGATATAACAGATTTAACTTCACCTAGCTTATCCTTGCTACATTCACGTGATGCATTCAACTAAGAACTACAGTTTCCACTTTATAAAATGGAAACTTATGGAACCAAAAAGTTATAAAACCTTTTCATGGTCATTATGAAAGAGATGCACAAGTGAACAAAACTCATCTTTTGTTCATGCCTCATGCTGTTTTTAAAGGAACATGATTTTATTCTCAAGAAAAATAAAATAGCCCTAGCTGGTTTGACTCAGTGGACAGAGCATCGTCCGCCTGTGGACTGACTGAAGGGTCCCAGGTTCGATTCTGGTCAAGGGCACATGCACAGGGTGCCAGCTCAATCCCCAGTAGGGGGCGTGCAGGAGGCAGCCAAATAATGATTGATTCTCTCTCATCATTGTTTCTCTCTCTCTTCCTTTCCCCTCCTCTCTGAAATAAATAAAAATATATTTTTAAAAAGAAAAGAAAAAGTAGTACTGTATATTTTAAATCAACCTTCAGTGGCTGAGAAACTGAGTAGCTATATACTAGACTCAGCTGAAAATATATTTTGACTTTGTCCAAAACAATTTTTAAAATATATTTTTACTATTGATAGCATTATAAATATCTCCCATTTCCTCTCCCCTTACTCCCCACCCCCAAACCTACCCCCCCCCCCCAGGTTTTCACTATCCTATTGCCCATGTCCATGGGCTATGGATATAAGTGTATGAATGCTTTGGTTTATCTCTTCCCCCAGCCCCGCATTGAGGTGTGTCAGTCTGTTCCATGCCTTCATGCTTCGGGTCTTATTTTGCTGGTCAATCCATTTTGTGAAATAAGCCAATCTGAGAAAGACAAATATCACATGATCTCATTTATTTGTGGAATCTAATGAACAAAATGAATTGACCAAAACAGTTTTTGGGTTTGAAGCACCTACTGGTAGAGGAAGTACAAAAAGCAGAAGATGAGGCATTTAGGCAACAGGGAACGAAAGAAAACGTGACAGTTGAGTAATCTGAAGGCCTTCTTAAAAAACTGGTTACTAGTAAATTGACTACTAACAAGAAAATTCATAAAGATAATAAATACAGATACCAATACAATGTTTAAAACACCAGTCCCCAAGTTTTAAATTCATCTCAAGTAATACCATAATCAATAAAGTTTTGGTTTAATCAATACTGTATATAGAAATAGCCTTCTTAAATATCACTATGCCCCCAAATCCTTTTGAAATGCTTAAAATCTGTTTACCTTAATTTAATAACAGATAACAATGTGCACAATAAAAAAGGCAGAAATGCCAAATGTTTGCCATTAGTGTAAACCAATATTTGTAAAACTAATCTTAACTCAGCCAATCCGAAAGCTTGTGTGCTGTAATGCAAAAAAAAAAAAAAAAAAAAAAAAAAAAAAAAAATTACATCCATATCTGTGGAGAACATTTAAAGCCAAGCAAAGTCTAAAACAAAACCTACCACGAAACCTAAAAAATTAAAAACAAATAGCTAAGTATTTTTAGTAAAAAGAATAAAATAACGTTTTAAATAACCCAATAAACTTATTTTGGGGATCAAATCTGGAAAAGCATCCTTTTGCTCACATAAGATACCTACCCCCTGGCCTGGGCTGAATTCTAGGCTGGATTGCTCCACGTTTCCTCAAGGCACAGTTAATACCGGCGGAGCTGCTACGAGACGCAGGGAGCTGTTTTACCCCCACACCCATCACATCACGGGCTGTCAAACCACGCATCCAACCTGCGGCATGGCAGGGTAATGATTTACCCCTGCAATCTCCAAACAAAAATGTAAGATTTACTTGCTCCAGGATGGTTACTTCTCAACTCTTAATTTATAAAAAGCACGAGCTGAGCATGAATTTCTGTACCAACATTATATCCATCCATTCATGTAAGCCTTTTCGTGTACGCGGTAATAGAATGCTGTCCTCTGAAGGCAGACAATACTGCTGATCCACGCCAGGCATTGATTTGTAGTTGTTTTTCCAGCGGGGTGAATGGATTTGCGCTCAAGCTACTCACGGTGTCTTACTAGGTCCCCCTGGTGACCAACAGCACCTGAAGGCAGGGGCAGGGTTCCGAGGCACACACTGACAGCGGGACAGAGAGAGGGTGGGACGGAAACCACGCAGCATTAACCCGGGAGCGGTGCACATGACATGACTGAGAATAACGTGTGCATCGCTGGGGATAGTATCGGCGATCGCCACCAGACACTGCTCCCTTGCCTTGCGGAAAGCAAACACCCATCCGACTCGCTCGGGCTTGTGAGTCCTGCCTCCTCCCATTTAAATCACGGGGTGATGGGGAGCCAGCACCGAGGAGCTCACGGCGCGAGGCACACGCCGCTTCCCCGGCGCCTGGGGAAGCACTGATGGGACCAATGGCCATAATTTTCTGAAATATGGAGGGATGACACACCACCTTACCGACCACCGTTTGCAGACCCGGGACCCAGCATGGAGAACAGCCGCCCCGCGGGGGGCCCACCGGGGAAGGGGGAGCGCACGGGACCGGGCAGAGACCGAGGCACGTCCCGAGCCCAGACCGCCGGGCCCCGCTGCCAGGGGTGCAGGGTCGCCTCCGAGTCACGTCTCGAGGCTCCCGTGGGGGGGGGCCCGGCGGTGCGAGGGCGAGCCCGGCCGAGGGACCGGGGTCCCGAAGCCCGGCCGGCAGGGGCCGCGGTGGGGACCCGGCAGCGCTGCCCGGGGCGGCGGGGAGGGCGCGCCGCCAGGTGCGGACGGCAGGGGGCGGCGGGGCTCGGGCGGGCGCTGCCCCCGGGAAGGAAGGAGGAGGGAGGCGGGCACGAACCGCGCGGCGCGGGGGGCGCGGGGGACTCGCCGCCGGCCTACCTGGAGGTGGTAGGGTCTCCGTAGCCAGGCGCCCGGACAGAGGCTCCTCGCCATGGCAATCACACATCGCCCCGCCGCGCCGCAGTCAGAGGCGGACCCGAGCGAGCGCCGGCGGCCGGGCTCCCCGCCTTCCCCCGCTCCCCGCCCCCGCCCGGCCGGGCCCGCCCCCGCCCCGCCCCCGCCGCGCGCGCCGCTCGGGGCTCCGCCGGGGCGGCCGCGGCCTGGCCTCCCGCTCCGCGCGCCCGGCCGGCGCGGCTGTCAGAGCCGCTGCCGCCGGCTCCCTCCGCCGTAAAAGGGAGGCGCGCCGCGCCTCGGCCGACACAAATGCAGCGGCCTCCCCGCGCTTAAAGGGGAGGCGTGCGGAGGAGGGAGGGGGCGCCGCCGGCTCCGCGCGGGGAGGGGCGGGCGGGGCGAGCCGTGCGCCTCCGGCCCGGGAGCGCCCAGCGCTCCGACCGCATCCCCGTGGCCGCCGCTCAGGCCGCCCCGCCGCGCATCCCGCCCGCCCGCCCGGCCGGCGGTGCTGAGCTCCCCTTGGATCCGCTCCGCCGGTGCGGACGCGTCAGGGCCGGCTGCTGGGAAATCCAGGGGGAGCTGGGACTTCCCTTGGGGACCGGCTGGCTCTCCCTCGCGCTCCGAGGCGGGTGCGGCGCGGGGAGGGGGGTCTGCCGCAGCCCCAAGCGCCGACGGGCGCATCCCCGAGGACTGGGCTCTGCGCCGATGCGGACCGGGCTGCTCTGTGCTGAACTCGCTTTGACCCCCAAATCCAGTTTGCTTCTAAAGGCCTTCGTCTATTTTTAAAACACACTTTAAAAAATTCTGACTTTTTAAATTTGCATTGTTTGCAAAACAGCTTCAGAGTTTTCCTGGCTCCACCCGGGGACCCTGATTGAAAAGAAAGAAAAATATCCCTGAATTGCGGTCCTGGGGACCTGGGACGTGGCACAGCTCCTCGGTTTAAGGCTGCCTAACGCAGGGTGTGGTGTCTGTCTTTTGACAGTGAAGCCCAAATAAGGGAAAACAGAGACACCCTAGTGGGAGAACAGCTGTTGATAGGAGTGACTCTCCGTGGAGGAAGATGTGTTTTTGCTTCTTTTCACCCCACGTGCCACCTTTCGTGGGATTCCAACAAAGTTTAGGTGGCCGTTTAGATGGCTCTGAGAAGTGGTTTCCCCAGCAGCAAACCCTGACACACTCTCACTGCAGCTTTTTACCTAGAAAGGAACAGATAGTTACTGTTCTGGTGCTTTACTTTTTATAAGAAATACTTTTTGTCCACTCTTCACCCCACCCCACCTCTGCACCCGCTAAGCCCAGACCCAGGTTTTAATCCTGGGTGATATTTTACTGCTGGCAGATAAACCCATTTTTTCATTGATTTTCAGCTTAGGTTAACAGACTAGTAATTTCTGAGTAAGCTAAAAATGGATCCTCTTGGTTTAATTCATTTCTTCATTCATTCAAAAAATAAATATTAATTGAGCACCCAGACAATTCACTAGCACACAAGTGAATGAATAGTCTGTTTTAGTTGATTTGGTTATATATATATATATGAACACAACAGACAATAATCAAACAAAACCACCCTTGTAGATACTACATTTTGTGGGTGGGGAGCAACAGGAAATAAGTAATAAATGTAATAAATATAAAAATCAAATAGGGTAATAAAGTTGGTAAGGGATATGAAAAGAGAAACCGTCAATAGAGATGAGGAAGATTATAAGTAGAGTAGGTTTGAGGAGAAAGATCAAAAGTTTATTTTTAGACATTTACATTTGAGATATTGATTAGAAATCCACGTGACGATTTGGGGTAGGCAATGGTATATATAACCCGAGCTTAAGAAGAGTGGTCCAAGCTAGAGAAACATGAAAGATTTCAGCATTTAGATGATATTTAAAGCCAAGAGACTGGACAATAGCACCAAGGGGGTGTGCAAATGGAGAGAAGAGAACCAAGAATGAAGTCACAATTTCAAGGAGGGAGAAGTGAAGGAGCCATCAAAGGAGCCTGACAAGGAGCGGCCATAAAGTAGGAGAACCAAACGTGAGTGCCTGGAAGCCAGGTGAAGGCATGTGTCAAGGAGGAGTGGTTACTCCTGAGTGAGAACTGAGACGACCATTGGATTTAGTACCATGGGGGGGAAAAATGGGAGGAGAGGAATTGGAGATGGCTAACATTATAGGCAATTATTTTGAGAAGTTCTTTTACAAAGAGATAGTTACTGTCAGTGAAATTGAGTCAAAAGTAGGTTAACAGCCCTGGTCAGGTGGCTCAGTTGGATGGAGCATCATTCCATACACCAAAAAGCTTTGGGTTGGATTCCCAGTCAGGGCACACACCTGGTTTGTGGGTTCAATCCCTGGTTGGGGCACTCAGGCAACCAATTGGTGTTTCTCTCTCCCCCTTGCTTCCTCTTGCTCTAAAAAATCAATCAAAACATATCCTTGATGAAGATTTTTTTTTTTAAGTAGGTTGACAAAAAAATTGGGAGAACTATTTGTTTCTGATGAGGATGATCTGAAAGAGAAGGGGAAATTTATGTAGACAAAAGAAGAGAGAATTGTTGGAGAGGGCTCATTGAGAAGGAAAGAGAATTTGGAATCTAGCACCTAATTGAATGAATAGTCTGCAGACAGGAACACCGACTGACTGTCCATCTATGGAAACAGGCAAGCAGTTGGGCAGAAGTGGTTGTGGGAATTTGTGGGAGTTCTCTTTTGGTTGTTTTCATTTTCTCAGAGACAGGAAGTAAGGTCATCAGTGGAGAAAGAAGAGGTTTGGAAGAATAATGGAGGCTTGGGGAGAGAAGTGAAGGTGTAAAATATTCATCTGGAAAGGTAAATGGACTAGGAAAAAAAATATCATATGCCTGCTGAATGTCATAAAGGGCCTGCTTGAGTTGCTAGTGATAAATTTAAGTGGGACAAGTCAGTGTGATTGTGGTGTTTTTCTTTAATTGATTGATTTTAGAGAGAGAGGAAGGGAGAGAGAGAAACATCAATTTGATACTCCACTTACTTATATATTCATTGGTTGATCCTTATCTGTGACCTGGCGTGACCAAACCCTCAACGTTGGCTTATGGGGATGACACTAACCAAGTGAGCTACCCAGCCAGGGCCTGATTGTGCTTTTTTCAAAAATTCCAGCAATAATCAGCTACGGGAGTGAAGGCTCAGAGTAGGCTTAGAATTCTATTTAATTCATCTTTACCAAGGCGAGAAGAGCAAGAGAGAGGAGCAAGGGAGTTGAGGATGTAAGGGAGTGGTTAAAACTCCCAATGGAGTTTAAGATGACGAACCAGTGGGTGTGGTCAGATTAAGGACAGAAAAAAAGGTGGTAGTATCAATTAATGGCAAGTCCTTTAATTATATAAAGAAGTCAGAGAATAAGAGAGAATGATCTGGAAAGATAGGAAGTGTTTAATAAGGGGTCTGGATCCATGTTCTATATTTTCTGACAGCGTTCACCACTCCTTTTTTCCCTGTGCCCCACATTTAGGAAAACTGTTAAGAAAGCCTAGGTGCTCATTCCCATGGAGCCAGTGGGAAGTTCAAACTGTGTAAGACCCAAACCGTGTGAGAAAACCTTCACCCTGGTCCCACCCCTCCCCCAAACACCATCTCCTTTCTCTGTCCCCTCAAGCTATGAATGGGTAATAAGGACAGGTTTCAGTCAAATGAGAAGAAATGATTGTTCCTTTTCCATTTAGAGTCAACAAAGATTAAATGTAGTTACAATTTTCTTATTCAAAAGGGGGGAATTCATTTAGATGATTTTCATTTCAAATTTTAGTTGTTTCCCTTGTTATCACGTGTCCCAGGAGCCGGAGAGAGAACGCTGGTGCTCGACAGCCCCCCAGGGTCCAGGCTGGGAACCTCATTGTAGGTGGACTTAAACTTTTGGTTTTACATCCACCAAGTGTATGAATCCCAAGAAGGATCCCAAGCTTGTTGGCCTGTGGCAAAGTTAAGTAGGACACATTCTACCCCTTGGTGTGGCTCTTCTTTCCACTCTTGTTACAGTGGCCCTGCAAATTCTTGATGTCATACACTGGACCTATATACAAATATCCAGATCTCCCTGACACCCATTCTTATGAAGTTTAAAAGTTTCTGTTTTTCTAAGGAAAAGTCAGCTAATCCAAAATTAATCCATGTGGTTGTGTTCAGAGGTACCAATTTGTGGCCTCTTAGTGGCCAAGAGTAATGTGACTTTGGCATTCCAGAGATAAAGGAGTAACTCCATTGGCTTAAAATATATGAAATCAATGCCGAAACCGGTTTGGCTCAATGGATAGAGCGTCGGCTTGGGGACTGAAAGGTCCCGGGTTCGATTCTGGTCAAGGGCATGTACCTTGGTTGCGGGCATATCCCCAGTTAGGGGGTGTGCAAGAGGCAGCTGATCGATGACTCTCTCTCATCGATGTTTCTAACTCTCTCTCTCCCTTCCTCTCTGTACAAAATCAATAAATTATTTTTTTTTAAATAAAAATAAATAAAATATATGAAATCAAGATCAGTGGTCTTCAAACGTTTCATTTGCACATTCCTAAAAGAATTCTGAAAAATACATGTATCCCTGCCCCATTTTTTTTAAAACGACATCCAAATTTTATTCTTATAAAATTAAATAATTGTAAAGGAAGTCATTTCCAGTGTTCTGTTGTAAATATTGGCGTTTAAAAATAAAATGGTCTCTCCAATCTAAAGTGTGGAATATAAATGCCATGGTGATTTGATACCATTTAAAGAGTAAATGAAAAAGTATTTCTTTAGCTATTAAATATGTAACATTGTTCCCTTTTCTTCTTAAACTTTTAAAAAATATTTTTTCATTTTTCAATCACAATTAATGTACAATATTATATTAGTTTCAGATGTACAACCTCGTGGTCACACATTTGTTTAACCTGCGAAGTGATCATCTCAGTAAATCCAGCACCCATTTCACACTATAAATATTATAGCTACTACAGTACAATATCACTGCCTGTATTCCCTGTGCTGTGGTCTACATCCCCGTGAGTATTTTGTAACTACTAACTTTCTTCTTGAACTTTTGTAAGTCCACTTCCCTTATACAGTTTTATTCTTTTACATATATTTTATGCATTTTAATTTACTATTCAACCTTCACATTCTCTATAGTAAAAATAAACTGACTTTTT